CGCCGCGCCGCGCCGCGCCGCGCGCGCTCCCCCTCACCCGGCTCCTCCCCCTCACCCGGCTCCTCCCCGCTCCGCTGCGCGCGGCCCGCCCACCACACTTCCGGTCCGTCCACCTATCTCCCTCGCCCGCGCGCCGCGTGTTCTCGCGGGACTTTCAGTGTCCCGCCCATTACGTGAGCCGGGCTTTGACTGAGCTTCCAAGGTCGCTCGGAACCTGGTTTGGAAGTGGCAGGCGCTTCTGAAGTGACCCGCGGACAGCTAGGGTCACTTCGTTAAGGTTCCTGACACGGACGCTACGTTTAGCAAAGGAAACAAAATCTGGACGCCCAGTTAAATTCGAATTTCAAGCAAGCTTAATCAACTTAACGTAATCAACTTAAACGTAATATATTTGTACTGAAATGTTTGTTCGTTGCTTGTGAGAAATTCTCATTTAACTGAAATGCAGTTTTATTTTTAATCTCACAAGCCCACCCCAGGCCCTCCTGCAGGGTGGGCGACAGAGCGCTCTCCAACACTGCTGAGAAGGCGCCTGGGTTTTTCTGCCCAAGAATGAGCAGGAGCCTTTAGACCCAGAACCGTTAATTTTTTTATTTACTTTATTTTAATATGGTATTGGGAATTGAGGACCTATGTTAGGCAAATGCTCTACCTCTTGAGCTATGCCCCCAAGCCTGTTTTGTATTTCGTTTTTGAGATAGGATCTTCTTGTGTTTTGCAGCTGGGGTTGGCCTCAGTGATCCTCTGCCTCTGCCTCTTCTGCCAACAATAAACTTTAATTTTAAAAAAAATGGGGCACGTGTGGTGGCTCATCCCTATAATCCTAGCTACTTGTGAGGCTGAAATCAGGAGTATCAAGGTTTGAAGCCAGCCTGAGCAAAAAGTGATATCCAGCTCCAAAGTAATCAGGGCAAAATGGACTGGAGATGTGTCTCGCATGGTAGAACACCTGCTTTTCAAGCAGAAAGTCCTGAGTTCCAACCCCTAATCCTACAACAAAAAATTACACTTTTTTTTACACTTTGCAACAGAATTATGAAAAACCTGAAACACACAAAAGAAGAGGTAGCTCTCAAAGGACTAAGACTCAGAGCAGTGAGCCTCTGCTCACTTTGGAGGCTTTCCATTTTCAGGACAAGATCGGTACCCAGGAGCTCCCGTGCCTCAGAACCCCACTGTGCACCTCACCAGGCTATACGCCTTCTCACCTACACGTTTCCCGAAGCATTGCCTGAGCTGCCCCAACTACTAGGAGGAAGGGATGCCCACAGTGTGAGAGGAACAGTGAGGGGGAAGAAAGGGCAGAAATGTAAAGAAAACAAATGGCAGAAGTAAATTTGTCTTAGATAAAGGAGAAAGACAAGCATTCTTAAACATTTAAAGAGATAAAATATAAACCCCTTAAGGAAGATAGTGATAGTCATAAAGTGCATCTGGCAAGTTTCAAGGATGGGATGGACGAACAAGGCCTTCTGGGAATGTCCAGTCCGATAAGGATGGGTTCAACAAAAAAGTTAATTAGACAACCAATTATAGATCCAGCTTCAAAGTAAAGTAGGGGGTGCCAAAGTCAGGCCCTATATTATCTCCTGGACTTCAGCCATTCTTTGGCTTAGCTCTTTCACTAAGTCCCACGCATCAGGGTGCTTTGCTATGCTTTCAATAAACTGCTCTTGCTTTAACTCTTAACTACTGGTCCAGTATCTTCAATCATCAACTACACCAGGACATGAACTTGGAAACAACACTCCAGTATCATAACTGGATGCTCGTTCATCTGGGATATTTTAACAAAATGTAAGTTGCTGAGATCCAGAATCTATCACTCCATTGCATTTATTTTCAGTCTACCTCTCTATCTCTCTCTCTCTGTCTTCTCTCTCCCTCCCTACCTCTTGCTCTTTCACTCTCTCCCTACAGGTCATTGCAAAGGGAAGCTGCCCACCCCTCCTCCCTTAGGCTTTTGAAGCACCCCCCCACTCCACCCCTAACCCCAACCCCCACCCCCATCATCTTGTCCTTGGTACAGGGAGATTGAAAAGGGACTTCATAATCCGCAGAGGTTATGGGGCATTTTTCTTAAATGTAGGGACTGCAAGGAATTCTCCCACAGGACAATGAGGCCTCACCCCCTACCCCCAGTCCCTCTATGTAACTTGGAATTAGTAGATTGGACCTCTAGAAATGGTTATGTTTCCCAGTGGCACAAGCCCCTGCAGGAACCTTACAAACTTCTGACTCAGTTTCTGGGACATCTAATCTAAGGGGCGAGGGAGTCCCGACAGCCTCCAGTATTACCTCTCGGTGCAAGGGGCTCACTTACTGGCCCTGACAAGAATTTCCAGTAGTATAAATACCATACTCCAGGAAAAGAAATATTTCTGCCCAGACCCACAGCGTGACTTTTCAGGCAGGTACGGCTGTTTTAGGACCCTCAGACACATGACTGATTGTCCCTACCAGGAACAAAGGGGAGTAGCGGTCCTCTCCCTTCAGGTCGAGATTTCAGCCTTCTGGTTAGTAGAAATACTCCAGAAGGCTCAATGCAGAGTGGTGACTGATGGTCCCCAATGGGAACAAAAGGGGGCAATGGTCCTCTCCCTTACACAGTGACCCAGTGGATGAGTCCACCTGGTCACACCTGTTTTGGCTAAGAGAGAGGCATATTTGGGCCTCATGGGTATGGGTGGGAAAGTTGAGACAGGCCCACTCACTCTATTTACACCACATGACTGGAGTGGCAGAGGGGAAGACACCCCACCCTACCCACTGGGGAAAAGGAAAGAGCTGAAGGATGCTTGGAGAAGCCCCTTATCCCAGCAGAGGGAGAAGACAGCAGAGGAAGAGACAAATGGTGTGAGGTCCCCTGGGTTCAAATGTTCTTTGCCCTGAGGAATAATTCTGGGCTCTGTAAGAGATGTTATATAAATGTGGTGTTATTAAGCTACCTTGCAGGCTTTAGCTCCTAAAGAAAACAGAAAAAGGAGGCAGCTGCAGGGTTAGCATAAAGATTTTTCACTTGGCACTCTTCCTCCTGTCTGCAGATTTTCTTGCTTGTGCTAAAAGTTTTGCTGTTCAAAGTCATTTTGAAGTTTTGTTATCTTACCCAGCCTTAATTGGGATATAACTTTCTGTAAGTCTTAATAAAATATCCAAGCAACAGTTCATCAACATTTCTTTTGGGGTGTCTTAATTCAATCCACTATGGCCACTTTCCACATTAGTTCCTAAACACTGGTTTAGGAGCCTGGCTGGTGACCAAGAGAAACTATGGACTTTGGTCTCTGAGGACATCAGAGAACCCGGACCACCTGCAGGATCTAGGATCGCTAGCTAACTGCACTAGGAGTGTAGTTCTGAACAAACTTTCTGAAGAAAAATTGGATAACCCAGTGACTTCACCTCACCAACCCCGTTCTCACCTGTATTTACAGGAGGGAAGGCAAGCCACCCGGTGGTCAAAGGAGAATACTCTGATTCTTGTTGCTCCTGGTGGTTCTGTTCTGTATGGTCCTAATGCTGAGCCATTGCTCCTAAGCATGTACGGGTCCCAGACATACAGGGTGAAGGTGAAGACTAGCAGGGGAGATAAGATCTGAACTTCCCCCAGACCACCCAGAAATGCCCTGTTTGGGGAAGGGGAGATAATTGGTTCCAAACAGTTCTGAAAGCATGCTCAGTGTAGCTCACCCATCACCTTTAATAACCTTTTAGGTGTTTTTCCCTACTTTAGACTTCATAAATATTACTTGCATCTCATGCATACAATTATAACAGAGTGACTTATGGGTAGGAACATGCGCAATCAGAAGTGAGTTATATAACATCTGGCTGTCAACCAAATCTGCCAATCACCCTAGCCCCACCTGCAAAGACAGCCAGGTTTTTCCCACCAGCCTGACCCAAACCACATAAAAGCCATATAGACTCAGTCTACAGGGTTCATGAGCTGCATGGCTGTAGCATTTCTCCCTTAATGGTGTCACTTTCACTTTCAGTAAACCTTGCCTCTGGTCACCTTTCAGTCACCTGATCAATACATATGCTCATGTTGTCTCTGCTTAAAGATACCTCATTTCATATCATTGATTAATTAACACTGACCTCACAGTCAACAGCACTGAACAACATGTTCAGTGTTGTTTTGTTCAACATGCCTGAACAAAAGTTCCCTAACACCTGCATTTCTTCCATAAGAAAATTTGCAGCCTTCTTCCTCTCAGGACGCTTGGACACCACTTTAGCACTAGGTTTGGGGGCTATTTTAAGCAGTGAGATCACAAACAAGAAGCACAAAAATGTGAAGAACATGGTAAAAACAACCACACCAAAAAACACTTATTTCTTGAGCGCTGAAATAAGTACTCAGACAGTGGATAAAAGCAGCACAAAGAGGTTGTGAAAAGGGAGAAACCTAGAGGACTCCCCAAATCTAGTTAATTTATAACTGAGCAAACAATGTTGAGAAAGAAAGCTGGTGGGGGACGACAGGCATCCACGCCACTTGAGCCTCCCTATGAGGGGCTAACTCCAGGGCAGAGGTGGCCAGGCTAGAGAGGAGGAAGGAGGTGACTTTGTTCCCAGTGGCCACAGAAAATCCCCTCCTCCTCTTTCCCTTCCTTCCTTCGCTTCCTGGCTGAGGGTGCGGCTTTCCTCTTGGAAACACAACACAGGTTAGTGGCCAGATGCCAGAAAGACCCACTCTGTCAGTAGACAGGGCCTTTGTGGTGTGCACACCCGGATCTTGTCCACCTTCTTTAGGGTGTTGCCCACTCCAGCACGGGCCTCCTGGTCTTCTGCCTCACTTCCCCCTTTGGACATGAGGGTGAAGCCCCTTGGGGAAGAAGGTGGTGGCTCCTCATTTGACTGGGACCACCCAACTGGGCATTTGCTACCTCATCTGGGCATGAACTGACTGCATCAGCTTTGGTTTCTGATGGGTGGAAGATTAACTTGGTTTCTCCATTCTCCCACTTATGGTTCACAGCCTGGGACAGCTGAGTGACTGCGAAACACCACCCCACCAAGACTGGACATGAATGAGGACTTAGAGGGCACAGAGCAGGGATTCGGGATCCTAGAGAGATCTTCCAATGGCCATGTCCTTCCTCTCTGGCTCTCTCCTCCCTCCATAGGAGCACAGCAGTCGCACGAATAAGGATTTTCAAACATTAAAACCGGAAAGAGCAACGTCATCCCCTCTACACTATTGCAGAGGCTCTGGAGGTAAAAGGTATGTTCCAGGTTAAAGATGGATAGACAGCAGAGCCAGACTGAAATTCACTCTTGATTTAGATTCTAGAGTTCTCTTCTTTGGTGTGTTTTGATAAATGAAACCACAAAGTCTGCATCTTTTGAATCTTTGGATCTACTGCTATTCTCTGAACTTGGAAACAGATTCAACTGACCTTTGTCCTTAGGACAGAGACCTGGTCCATGGTCACAATCCAGGTTTTCAAAGGCAGAGCTAACCTGAGCCCTTGCACTCTGAAGTGGACACCCTTATCTGCTGCTGTAGACCTGTCAGGGTCCAGGGGACCCTGACCCACCCAGGCTCACCATGGCAGCAGAGATAGACCAGAACATGGAGGTGTGGAAGCAAGTGTTCCAGGAGCTAATTCAGGAGGTGAAGCCAAGGCACAAATGGACCATCACATCAGACAAGAGCCTTCTTCCCAATGTCCTGGATCCAGGCTGGATGCAATACCAGCAGTGGACCTTTGCCAGGTAAGATGGGAATGCCATCACTCATGTCCCAGAAAATCCTTGCTTATTTCCTATTGTGCGTATTTGTCACTTCTTCTACCCCATGCTTGTGTATTGACTTCATAGGAAAGAAACAGCCCATCATCCAAGAAATTCCAGCTTCATTCAAGATATTTTTTCCCTATTACAACAAACTGCAAACAGTAACAGGCCTAGGCACCGGTATGGGGAAATTCCTAGATTCTTGGAATTCAGGCTGGGGCATGAGACAGGGAGCAGCCAGGAAAAGGCAAAGGGAAAAAAGGTGGCTGCCTCACAGAAGGGCACTGCATTTACTTCTTGCCTTGGGAGGCTCTTGGGTCCACCAGGACCATCTAGGGAGAGACCCACTGCTCTGAGCGTAAGGCCAGAGGAGAAGGGGACTGTCCAACTCACAACAATCCTGCTCCTCTCTACTCTGAGCTTATAGAATCTTTTAAAAATGGGGCTTTCAAAGATCACCCAACTTGAGCCTTCTCTTTTTGAGGTTGTAAACTGAAGCCTGAGGCCTGGGGTGAGAGTAGGAAAGAGCACTGGCCACCAAGCTCACTAGAGTCCCAGGATCCATCATTGCTGCCCTCTCTGGGGTCTAAGCAGAGGAGGTAGAATGTTCCCAGGATAGGAGGTAGCATGGAGAGTCCCAGAACAAAGTCTGTGTGTTTGTGAGAACTTGGAACTCAGGGCTGGCACAGTGACCAGGCAGTTGAGGACAACCTAGACTCCTGTGCACGACTGACTAGAAGTGACCTCCAGCCAGTTCATCTCAAGAGGCTCACAGCTTCTCAGCATCTGTGCCTCCCCAGTTCATCCCCACATTCATCCTGAGAGGACAGGCTGGGATCATGACTCAGGAGCTATAGCACTTGTGTAAGGCCCTGGGTTCCACAAAAAAGATACGGAGTGAACCTGAACTAACTCATTCTGCCCAGCAACCTCCAGTTCCCCATCTGACTGAAGATGCCCCTGCATAAGCCAAGCTAGGCTATGCTCAGCTACTGGGACAATAACTCAGAATTTAGCCTAACACATGGCTCCCAAGGTCACTGAGGCTGAGGAAGGGAGAGCCAGAAAGAGCAGCTATCACTGTTGCCCACATCCAGCTGGCTAACAGTTCCCGGGGGTCCCAACCTAACAGCAAGTGGGCTGGGAAATGGGAGGGAGTGCAGAGATCACTAGGTGAACATTAAATGTCTGTCACACTACAGTCCCCTAACCCTTCCATAGTTCTGAGATTGGATGTAGCCATGTTCTTCCTGCCTTCTTTCTTTCTAGCAGGTACTTACTTGTCCAAATATCTTAGGTCAAAAAATTGCCCTCCCTGCTCTACTCTGCTGGAAGTAAAGGCGCTCAGAACATGAAATTCTCTAGGCTACCTTGAGCAAAGGAATGGGTTGGAGGGGCACAAAAGAAAAGAGAACCAGACTGTGCCCTCCCGTGATCAGATCAGGGGCCCTGGGCATGGATATGGAGCTTTCAGCCTCCCCGCTGACCTGTAGCTCCATGACTCACCCACCGCCCACTTGTGGATTTCAGTTCGGGGTCCTTAGTTCCTATCGCGTATGTAGCCTTTGACTCATTTAAATCCATGTTTGAAGAAACTTTGACTTGGGGTCCAAAGTCTAGCGTGCCAGTCCTGTCTCTTACACCCACTGGGCCCCACATATGATTAGTTCCCAATGTGGTCCTCATATCTAAAGTGAGCATGCTGGACTTCGAAGGTGCCCGAGGTCCCTTCCAGCTCAGGCAGCCTGTGATTTTCTGTTTTCATGGCACACACCTACGAGTCACAGGGCTCACCAGTGACACAGTGGAGATGGGAGTGCTTGGTAGTTTCTTCCAACCCAGTCACATGTCTGTGCTATTAGCAGCTCCTTCTCTGTCTGGCAGCCACCTACAATCTGGTCATACTGAGCCAAGCTGAGGCTTTTGTCCTGTATCCACAGGTTCCAGTGTTCCTCCTGCTCTCGCAGTTGGGCCTCTGCCCAGGTCCCCGTCCTTTTCCATATGCACCGGCATGAGAAGAAGCGCAGGGGCCAGGTGAAGATGAGGGTGTTTGCCCAGAGATGTAAGAAATGCCCCCAGCCTCTGTTTGAGGTTCCTGAGTTCACACAGGAAAATATCACAAGGATCCTGAACAACCTGGTGTTCCGAATCCTGAAGAAATGCTACAGAGAGGGATTCACGCTGACAGAGGAGATTCCTGCAATCAAGGAGACGGGTCTTAAAGGACCACATGACAGTTACAACTGTGAGGCATGTCTGCAGGGCCTTTGTGCTCTGAGAGGGCTAAACCCAGCCACTCAGTCACAAGTGTCCCCATCATCACCCATTCCTTCTAAGGATACTGGGGAGCCCATTATCACTGATACTTGTATCCACCTCCCCTGCTCACAACCATCCTCTAAAAAGGACAAGCTGCTTGAGTCAACAGTGAACCCAAAAGTTCCTAAGCTCCCCAAGGCTGCCCCTAAGGTCAACCATACTTCAAAATCATCAACTGCTCCAACATTTACAACCCAACAAATACCATGCACATTAACAGTGAACCCCGAAGTCCCTAGCCCCCCTAAGGCTGACCCCAAAGTCAGCCACACATCCAAATCATCAACTGCTCCCACATTTTCCACCCAACGGATACCATCTTTGTTAATAGTGAACTCCCAAATCCTTAACTCCAAGCCTGACCTCAAGGTCAGCCACACCCAAAAACCATCAACTGCTCCCACATTTCCCACCCAACAGAAACCAGCTTTGTCAATAATGAACCCTAAAGACCCTAACCTCCCCAAGGCTGACCCCAAAGTTAGCCATACCTCAAAACCATCAACTGTTGCCACATTTACAACCCAACAGATGCCATCTTTGTCAAAAGCAAACTCCCAAATCACTCACCCCAAGACTGACCTCACAGTCAGCCACACCCCAAAACCATCAACTGCTCCCACATTTTCCACCCGATACATACCATCAATAGAGAACCCCAAAGTCCCTAACCCCAAGATCAGCCACACCCCAAACCCATCAAATGCTCCAGCATTTTCAACTCAACAGGTGCCACCAATGAGCTTAGCTGCCCATTGCTTGACCACTCAAATGCCTTCTTCCACAAATTGTAACACAGCAGCAGATGCACCAGCCAGGAACAAGAGGCCAAAGACAAGAAGGTCATCGTTCTCATCCTCCTTACCCGTTGAGCCCACGTGGAACAGGAGCCCCATCACTTGCAGCCCAACGGCAAACACCATTTCTCAGGTGGAGAGGAGCATCCAGATCGACCTGTCACCTGAGCATTCCCGTTCCTGCACCCCCTCACACAGCACATGCAGGAGATTCTACACTTGCTTCTGTTGTCTCATTCTAATCCTTACTGTCACTGCCATTGTGGTGATTGCTTTAAAAGCTATTCTTTGAGCTGGGAAAACCATATACTAAGTGAAAATGAACCAGAGACATAAAAGGTCACATATCATAGGATCCCATTGCTATGGAATCCACAGAGGCCAGAAGCAGGTGGCTACCAGGGGCTGGGGGAGGAGGGAGAGCAGGAAGTAACTACTTAATCCATATGGGTTGTTTGGGGGGAGTTCATGAAAATATTTGGAATGAGATCGAGATGGTGGTTGCACAATACTTACAATGTACTAAAAACCATTGAATTGTTCATTTTAAGACAGTTAATTTTCTTATGTGACTCTCACCTGAATATATATATTTTTTGAATGCTACAGTTTTGTTCAACCTTGACAGAACTGAGTCTGAAGTGTTTAGGAGTCAGAACCATTTGGAAATCTTCTGAAACCTGGAGGCCTCCTCACCAGCAAATTTTGCACAGACCTTCTGGTGTTGGTCTGGGACAGTTTGTAGTGGAAGCCTTAGGCTGACAACCTGGGTTCTCAAACAATGGTCTCCACAGAAAGACACAGAGCTAAGGGATGAGGCAGAACAAGACGCTGGGGAGGGAGATATATCCTTAAAGTTCATTTAACTTTTCTTTTAAGCTACATTATTTCTTGTAGTATGTTTATGCTGTATGCTGATGTGTTTAAATGAATACATAGATATGCATGTGATGAATGAATAATAAGTAGGCACACATTTGGAGTGCACATTCGGTGTCTTTTATTAACTATATTACGCAATCAGAAATATTGGTGAAGAGCATGTTACCCATTTGTCTTTTCTCTCCTCATGAGTAGTAATTTGTGATCCTAGCTCACTGTTTCTGAAACTGCAAAATATGTGTTTAGCTCATATGGAACAATAAAAGATCAAGACTTGATAAGCAAGTTAAGAAAAGATGGTTACATGGAATGTCTTATCTTAGCAGACATCACTACTGCTATAATTAAAACACAGGATGCCAGTGTGGGGACAGTTGACTTAGCAGAGCAAGCCAGACCCAAGAGCCAGCATCAGCTGGTGTGGAGCGGAGGACAGGCAGCAGACTGCTGCAGGGCGCCCCTGCAAGACAATGTCCCTGAGGGGGCTGGCTGGTTTGTGTGTGAAGGATCCTGTTGAGACATGAGTTTAGTCCTAGATAGGCTCTTTCTGGTCTCTCGCGTTTCCCCTTGCCAGCAGGTTGTGTAGCCCTAGGATGTTTTTATGGTGGTCTCATCTGGAACCCAGGGGTGTTTACCATAGCCCCCATCATCCCCACCTTACTATACTTTCACTCCAATTTCTGACTTCTTAGCACCATGTGGCTGCCAAAATTCCTGCTCCAGCCTTTAGTCTCCTCGTGGCTGCTTTCTTTTTTTCTTAAAAAAGTACCCGGATCTTGGAAATTAGCCAATTGACTGAATGGAAAATCAAATCAGAATTTGGGGCCTCTTGTCTGCAGTTCCCTTCTCTCTGGGAATTTCACCTTCAAATTCCAGGTTGCTAAGACAACCTCAAATTGTGACTTGTGTCTCCTTTCTCAAATAAAACTCCACTTTCTGCTTTGCTTTAACTCTGGGCTGTAATTTAGGAACGGGCCTCCTGAGGTACGTGTGACTCACCTCATGTGCCACCCCTTCTTAGAACCTGTCACTTTCGTGCTGGTTGCTCTCCGAGGCCTTTTAATATTTGTTTTGTTTTGTTTGTTTTTGTCTAGCCTTTTGAGGCTGTTTTTGGTAGCAGGATTGACCCAACCTACCCATGATCAGAATCAGAAAGCATTTTGGAGTTGTTCTGCAAAATCTGGATAGGGCCTTCGAATTCCTCACCAAAACAGATTATTGCCATCTCCCCCAGGAGCAACAGAGAAAACTACATTTCCCTGCTTCCTCTCCCATAAACATCTTCCTCTAGGGCAGTACTGCCTCAGAGACAAAGTGCCAGCCGCACACGGAATTTATTTTTGTGTTTTGAGATTGGGTCTGTGTAGCCCAGGTTGGCCCTAAGTTCTTGATCCTCCTGCCTTAGCCTCTCAAGTGCTGGGATTATAGGCGTGTACCACTATGCCTGTCTGAAAGTAATTTTTATAACCCATTTTAAAACCTCAAGGTATGGAAAATATTATTTTAACATGTAATAAAGATCAAAATTATTTTTGGTGGTACTAGGGCTTGAACTCAAAGACTTGCCAAGTGCTCCACCACTTGAGTCATGCCCCCAGTTCTTTTTGGTTTAGTTATTTTTCTGATAGGGTCTTGAGGTTTTTACCTAGGCTGGCTTTGGACTACAATCCTCCTCCCTCCTCCTTCTGCTTAGCTAGGACCACAGGCCTGAACTACTATATCTGGCTTGTTTATGAGATATAACTTCACTATCTTTTTTTTTTCAGTACTGGGATTTGAACTCAGGGCTTCCCACTTGCTACGCAGATACTTTACCACTTGAGCCACTCCTCCAGCAAATCTTGCTAACTTTTGCCCTGACTGTCTTCAAATCATGATCCTTCCATCCAGCCTAGCTGGGATTTACAGGTGTGTACCACCATGGCCTACCCAAGACCAAAACTCTTAATAAGATATTCTAAAGACATTCTTTTTCTCATAGTAAGTTTTCAAAATCAAGTATGCATTTTACACTTACAGCACAATTTTGGACATTATATTTTCCATGGGAAATAACTCATTTAGATTTCAGAAAAATCACAGTTAAAAATTAGATTCCAAGTTGCCCTAAATATAATTAAAGTTGTCTATTAGATGAGTAGAAAATGATTTAAATTTAAAGTAATATGGCTGGGCACTGGTTGCTCACGCCTGTAATCCTAGCTACTCAGGAAGAAGAGATAAGAAGGACTGAGGTTTGAAGCAAGCCTGGCAAATAGATCGTGAGAGCCTATCTCAAAAATACCCAACACAAAACAGGGTTGGCTGAGTGACACAAGGGTAGAGCGCCTGCTTAACAAGTGTGAGGTCCTGAGTTCAAACCTCAGTATTACCAAAAAATATATATAAATTAAATCTAATTAAACAGCCACACATCAGTGGCTTACTAGCCACATGAAGACCATCATAGTGAACAGCACAGATCTGGAGTATGGAATGAAAGGAGACTTTGTGGGCCCCCAGGAAATTTCCCTGGTTCTGACTTGCATCTGACCTGATCCTGTCTTCTGTGGCCCTGTGGCCACCATCACCCACACAACCAGCATTCTCATCGTTGTGATTTACTTGTAAACACTTCGGTATAGACACTGAGGGGTGTGTGGTGTGCACATCCGTGTGTATCTGTACTAATGTCTCATCTATGCCCTGTGACAGACGCACACTTCCAGTGGTGGTCATTTGGCATTCATTTGAACCTAATCAGAATCCTCACTCAAGTTGCAGTAAACTTCAACTATCTCTTCAAGGAGGGTGTTGGTTAGTTAACCAACATATATGACATTAAAAATGATGTTTTTAATGAAATAAGTGATGTTCATCCCATATTACTCTGCAGGTATCTCCCCCTCATGCATAAGTAGGGGATAAGAGTCTCAAGTACCCACTGAGTCTCCACTTTGAGAAGAGTGCTTATTTAGAACACTGGTCCTTGTTCCCCCCACTAACAGGGGGCCCTGTAGTCTGGTAAGGAGTTTCCCCCATTAGGTTACATCCTGCCCTAATAGAACAGATCTCAACCACCTGCAACTCAAGGATCACAGACAAGGTGGCTTGACTGGGACCTGATCACCAAGAAGTATCTACTCCTTTGATACAGTCCAGTCCTTGCCCTGTGGTAGTGAGTTTTATGAAAGGCAGCTACTACCTGCTGATAAACACAGAGAGCCTGGTTATTGGGGATGGCCAGACTGGCTTGGGTGAGTCCAACATTGCTTCCTGAGATATGTTTTCTCAACTTCTTGAACTTCTGAAAGTGACAAACATGTTAATAGCAACACAGGACTAGAAATGATTCCTGTTAAATTTAAGAGATGCTCTTTCCTTAAAAATAATTTGGCTGTTATTCCTCAAAGATTTTCCCAAGGAATTTGTCTCTAAAATTTTTCAACCTTAGTCATCCTCATTCTCCTTAGTTGCAGGATTTTTCTCTCTTCCTGCAGGCTTAGGTATCACTTCCCAAACTCATGTTATATAGGGCTCAGAACAGCCTTCCATTGTAATCCAAGTTCCTAAGAGAAACAGTAGGATATATAGAAATATAGAAGAAGAGATTTCCTGTGGAACGGGACTCACGTAATTATGGAGGCCAAGAAGTTCCACGATCTACCGTGAGCAAGCTAGAGAACCAGGAAGGTCAGTGGTCCAAGTTCAAAGTCCTGAGTAGATGAGTGCAAGTAGAAGTCTCAGAATCCAAAGGCCCAAAACCCAAACTCTGATGTCCAAGGGCAGGAGAGCAGGAGAAGATAAATGTCCCAGCTAAAGAAGAGAGCAAATCCATCTTTCCCCCATTGTTTTTTTTCCATCTGGGCCCTCAGGATTAGACAAGGCCTGACCATGTTGGTGAGAGCAATCTTTATGCAGTCCACTGACTCAAATGCCAGTGCAGTTCCTTCAGGAAACACTCTCACAGAAATAATGCTTTGCTAGATGTGTAGGTATCCTTAGCCCAGTCAAGTCAACATCTAGCATTAGCCCCCACACCTTCCTGGCCTTACCTTTCCAGCTCAGTCTAACTAGGCCTTGAGTCTGTATTCATCTCCTCAAACTCACCAAAAAGGGTGAAGAACTAACAGGATCTATCACAATTTTTGCCCTTCTTTTCAGAGTTTTAGAGACTATTTTGATTATTTTCCCGTATATGTTATATAATCACAATTAGTTCTAGTCCAAAAAAAAGGGAAGAAGTTGAAAGAAAAGAAATCCTATTGACATTTTATTATGCGTACATTAAATTTATAGATTAGAGAAAATTGATATACCTACCATGTAGAAGTTTCCTACACAAATTCATGGATTTACACAAATCCTTTGTGTCCTTAGTATGTGTTCCAAAGTATTTCATATATAGGGTTTGCATATATATTAGGAAGAATTTTTTGTAAATTCTTTTCTCTCTCACTAAAGCTGTGCATGAGGCCTTCACTTTCTCTACACTATTTTAAATCCCACAATCCTTCTGACTTCTATTATTTTTTGTGGCAATATTTCAGTTGATACTACTGAGTTTCTGGGGTAGGCAATCACATCATATACAAAATGTGTTCATTTTACTTCCTCCTTTCCCACGTTGATATCTCTCTGTTCTTTCTCTTCTCTGTGTTGTAGAGAGTTTAGAAGGAATGTCTCGTTTTTTCTTTACTAAGTACCATGTTGGCTTTGAAGATACTCCTCACTTTCTATTTCATCAAGTATTTTGCAAATCAAGAATGACATTTAAACTACCAGTGGGAAGGGGTGGGCACAAAGAAAGGGAGAATGAGGGTGTATATGGTGAATGTGTTTTGTATCCATATGTGAAAATAGAAGAATGAAACCCCTTGAAATTGTTCTAAGGAGGGGGCAGTAGGGAGAACAATATATTGTAAGCACATATGTAAATATCACAATGTATCCCCCTTATACAACTATTATATTCTAATAAAATCATTTAAAGGAAAGAAAAGGACAAAAAAAGAATAGTATTTAAGACCATTGGAACAAATTGCAAAATCCACAAATACACCCATATCAAGGCATGATCTCAAATCTATGAGGAAAGGGTAAACTTTTTATTAACTGTTTTTAGGATAACTGAGTAGTCACACAGTAAAAGATAAAACTAGAACTATTCCACAAACCATATACCAATATAAATTCCAAGTGGAACAGAGATTTAAGTGCACATAATAAAACCTTACAAGCACCAGAAAAAAACATGGAGGGATTCTCCTGTGGTACGGTGGTATAGTGGTATGGGCCCCAAAGACATCCATGTCCCAATTCCCGGAACCTGTGACCATGTAATCACCTATGGGCCAAGGGATTTTGTAGATGTGGTTAAATTAAGGACCCTGAGTTAGGGAAGATTATTCTGGATTATCCAGCTGGGCTCAGTCTGATCACGAGTCCTTTTCCAGCTCTTGTCAGAGAGATGTGACTACGGAGGAAGGGTCAGATAGATGCTACATTGCTGGCTTGGAAGATGGGAGGAGGAGATGAAAAGCACGAAGGTGCCCTCCAGAGGCTGGAAAATGCTAGGAAGCAGATTTTCTCCTAGAGGCCAGGAAGGAACGCAGTACTGCCAATGCACTGACTTTAGTCCACTAAGAACCATGTTAAGCTTCCACCCTACAGAATTGTAACATTTGTGTTGTTTTAAGGCACTCAGTTTGTGGTTAGTTGGTACAGTAGCAATAGGAAATTAATACGCCTTGTTTCCTTACCCTTGAAGTAAAGGGACAGTCTCTTTCTTGTCCCCTTCCTGGGTCACAGAAGCTTCTGACTGCCCTTTCTTAAGTCCTACTCAGTAAGAATGCTGGAAACAATTCCTCAAGTAGGCACTCATGAGGGAAGCACCCCCAAAACTCAATGACAAAAATCTACCAAATTGCACTTGGACAAATAAGAACTATCTGGTTAGGAGACACCTCAGAGGGAGAAGTGGGCACTTCCGAAGATTGACGAACTCCCTTATGAAGGAATGTTACTGTAATTTGTCAGGTTAGAATACTAAGCATGCAACCAGCCAGGTGTCCCGTCTCAGCCCTAGGGAATTTAGCTTCTGCAAGACTCTAATTACCTAAGTCGTGATGCCACCCTATTTACAGAGCTGTTTACCCATCTTGTCCTCTGTTGCAGAAGAGATCATTGCTAAAGTGGAAGATGCTGGGAAGGGAGCCGGAAAGAATTATCCCTTGGCTCTCTGAAGAAAAGAAACTCAACCCAAGGCTTCAGAGAGCTTTGATTCTCATGGAATGTGGTTGTAATGCAGGCTTGACATTTGAGTTCACAAAAGAAAATTCATTTTTTAAAATTGTGATAAAAAGTGCAATAATGCAAAATTGACCACGTTTGCCATTTTTAAATATACTGCCGAGTCATGGAGAAGCACTCACATTGTTGTGAAACAGACCTCCGGAACTCTAACCTTGCTGAACTGAAATGCTATACCCATTTTAAAGTGGTTCCCTCCCCACCATCACCCAGCCCATGAAAACCACCATTCGACTTTATTTCGCTATGAATTTGGATACCTCTGGATACTTCAGAGGGGTGGAGTCACACAATGTTTGTCTTTTATTTCACTTAACATGGTGTCTTCAAGGTTTATCGCAGGGACTTGCTTCTGCTGAGCAAACACTCTACCACAGGGCTACACCCCCAGCCCTACTTTCTGTTTGTTTGTTGATCATAGCCAAACTAGTTACTATGAAATGATATCTCATAGTATCATTCTAGAAAATGCAGCTCTTATGGTACAAGTCCATACCTTTAAGGCAATATCACAAATAATACCTGTATACCTGTTGGAGCTGCTGGGAAAACAGCAGAAATGTGTGCATCCATTGTCCATAGACATGCCATTCATTTTTAAACGTTTCAGCATCGTTTGTCTGGAACTTAAGGCTCTCAGGCATTAACAAAGTGATAGGCAACAAAAGAAATGTTTTCTCTCCTACAATTTCAACATACAAAAAATGGGTGTGAAAATAAAGTTTTAGAGCCAGAACACTTTTCTTCTAAGAATATTTTATTATTTCATTCACTACTTTAATGTTCCCACATATATTCTGCTATGTAAATAACCTCTCCAAACTGCGAATAGTTCATATTCATCATGTAAAATTTTCAAATTTCTGCCGGACACCGGCAGCTCGTGCCTGTAATCCTCGCTGCTCAGGAGGCAGAGATCAGGAGGCTCACAGTTCAAAGCCAACCAGGCAAATAGTTCACAAGACCCTATCTCAAAAAAATCCATCATAAAAATAGGGCTGTTGGAGTGGCTCAAGGTGAAGGCCACCAGGTTTTTGGTGGCCCAGTACCACCAAAACAAAAATTTTTTTTTCAAGTTTCTAAGATATTTCCACTAAGATGCATATTCTACCTTTAGAATTTTCTGAATTTTTATATTTATATGAATAAGTTAAACACTAGATCTAAAAACATATTCAAATAATATACTTGTTTTAGAATATTATATAACATGAAATAACTATATATCAATAAAGCGTGTTTTCTTTATTTATACATGACACCTGAGGCAAGGTTTTTACACAAAAGACTGGTTTATTGAAAGAAAATTTACATAAGCTATGGACAGTCTTATTTGTGTGACAGTCCCCACTTGCCCCCTTTTCACACATAGTTTTCATATGGCTGTATATAACATACTTGGGGACGTGAAATAAAATTCCAAAATCACTCAAGCAATACAACTAATAAATTTAAAATATATTTTTAAGTGTTAAAAAGAAAAATATAGCTGCTGGCATGCTTGTAATCCCAGACTAGAGAAGCTGAGGCAGAATGGTCACAGCTGCCAGGCCAGCTTGGCCTACAAAGCAAGACCGTTCCCAAAAACCAACAGAAGGAGGAGGAGGAGCAGGAGCAGGAGAAGAATGAGGAGAAAATTATGTAAGGTTTTTTTAAGTGATTTCTCATTTTCCTACTCTCTTCATCTTTTCACCTACTTTTCAGAATTTGTTTTTAAGTTGAAGCAATCCTCTACTGAAACATTACCTTGTGGTTTGAGAATTCTCTGCCTGGTTTACATCTAAAGATGTGTAGACTTATTCAAAACATCGATTGGACAAAATATCAAGGTTTCTATAGCAACCTTTTTTGTTTAATGCCTCTGAGAACAGATTAGTTCTTCAGCTAAGAGAAAATTAAAATCACTCATTCTTCATTTCTGCCCAAAAAGTCTTTCTCCAAAATCCCAACTGGCTAGACCTTGCTGTCCAGTATAGTAGCCACTTGTGGCTATTTAAATTGAATTACATCTAAAATGTAGTTCTTGAGTCACACCAGTCACTCACTGTTCAAGTGCTCAAGGACCACATGTGTGGGATTGGACAACACAGACACAGGCCATTTCCATCTTTGCAGAAAGCTCTATCAGGCAGCACCAGGCTAGACCATGGAGGAGTTGACTCATATACAAACAGTTGACAATATGCATACTTTCCTTCTTAATTACAAAAGCTACTTACGTTTAACATCAAGACAATCAGCCACATCCTGTTTGTTTCAGCCTAAGAGAATGATATAAAAATCGAAACTTCCTACAGTTTCTTCAAATCATGTGATGTGAGGAACCCAAAGCCCTCTAATGAATTCCCTCTTTGTCAATGTAAAGACAGGATTCCCCGGCACCCTCTGAACTGCAGCATCATTGCTATGGGCAGAGCTCTCCTGCAGTGCCCATGACAGTCTTGCTAGGGATGGTCAGTGTGGACTGGTCAGCTCCCTTCCTCTATGTGGCCACCTCGAAGGAAAGAGCCCTGAGGACTTTGCCTCTGCTCTTTGTTCTGGGGAAGGTCTCAGGACAGGATGGCTATCCATGTAGGCTCTTCAAGGCTTCCATGATGAACCAGGCCCACACTTCTTGTGCCCAACGCCCAGACAGATAATCCACCCCCTCTCCCTACCCTCTAGGCCCAAATTACACCTTAAGTCTCTCCTGAGAGCCAAAATATACTTAAAACATACTTGCCAAATTATGCTTTAAAGCATGTGGAAACAGCATTTTGTATGAAGGAACATTACTCTCAATGAAAGAAAGAGTTCATTAAAACACTTTCAAAATAACAATAAAACTCTCCTCGGACTAGAGGACTATAAATGGTCTTTTCACAAGCCTTTAGCCCTTAATTCCTGAAAATAAGTGCACTCAATTTCAGAATTTAGTCATTAAGTTATAATTTTTTAAAAGAATGCATTTTCTAAAATATCAATGTGCATTATTTGAAAACAAGCATATGCAAATGGACTTGTAAACATCAATATATAAACTAATTTATCAGTTTCCAACCCCATGTTAAGAGATATTCATATATTTGAAATTTGAAGATTATTTTTCTTAATAACTATGACAATGGTTTCTAGACTCTTAAGTTTAACCTATGATTCCTAGATCACATGACCTATACACACGATTTAAAGATCCACAAGATAGGGACAGTTTGCAGGCTTCTGATGGATGGCATCAAAGCTGAAGACTGAAAGATACTTTGGTGGTGTAGCTGGGGACAGATTCTATAAAAAGAAGAAAAATACATACTCAACCATGCATTCATATTTTATTATGAACTATAACTACCTGTCATAGCCCATGTCAATACATGAATTATTACCACTTCATATTCTAGGTACAAAGATAATGTCTAGGTGATAAATAATGTGTTAACCACCATTAAGTCAGCCATCACAACTGTGGGGCCAAGTTTAGGAATGTTTAGGTCTAAGATAGAATCATCACTCAGGAGGCAGAGATCAGGAGGGTCACAGTTCGAAGCCAGCCTGGGCAAATTGTTCAAGAGACCGTATATCCAAAAAAAAAAAGTCCATAAAAATGGGCTGGTGGAGTGGCTCAAGGTGTAGGCCCTAAGCTCAAACCCCAGTATTGCCAAAAAAAATAAATAAATAGTATCATCAACTGTTAGTCTTTTTCAATCCTTCCAGCCAACTCCCTCATCAAGGCTTTGGAAACTGATCCTATGATAATCAATGGTCAAGGCCATGGACTGGGTGGGAGGAAGCAGATGTATGAAAAGTATGACTGAGGGCTGGCGGAGTGGCTCAAATGGTAGAGCGCCTGCCTAGCAAGCGTGAGTTCAAATCTCAGTACCACCAGAAAATAGAAGTGTGACCTATTGCTACACCAAGCATGATCTTACAAAATAAATCTCTCAACTTTGCTCTTTCCACGAGTTAATACACCTCTCTCTTCCTTCACAGACAAGTTTTGTCCGGGGATGGTTGAGACCAATGGTTCTCAAAGTGTGATCAAACACGTGGCATCAAGATCACCTGGGAGCTAGTTAGATGTGCGTGTGCTCAGACACGCCCCAGCCCCAGGGAGTGAAAAACTCTGGTCTGGTTTCACCAAGTGTGCAGGAGTGAGGGTTTCATGTCCTCAGCATCCGTGACCCACGCGAGGTCATAGGCCCACGTGGACTTGCTAACTCTGCTTTTTATTCCTGATAGATATGGACGCTCTGACCAACCAGATACTGCTCTGATGGAGAAAGAGGGAGGACACCATGATAAAGAAAAAAGACAAACTTTTAAAGCTTCAAACCACATGTCTCACCATATGTAGGTTGAACCGTAAGAAACTGCCATTTTTGTAGGGTGAACCAGCTGAATGTCAGCAATATTTGATTCACCCTAATATAAATAGATGAAGGATACAATTATTACAGTCATTTAGAAAGAAGGGAATGAATTCCAAGTCTATTATTGCTAAAGTTAATTTTTAAAAGCAAATGTTTTTTCAGAGACATTTAAGTAAATATATTTACAGCCAGGGGTGGTACTGTATGACTACAGTCCCAGTATCTAGGAGGCAGAGGTAGGAGGATGGTGGGTTCAGGACCAGCCTGGGCTACATATATATACTTTATAATAAATAAATTATTAATAATTATTCAACAATAAATTTATTTCATTACAATTAATTAATCTTAAAAGCAAACTATCTAAAAGTGAATTATCACGAGTAACCACACTGATTCAAAACTTCATGTCTACTTCCTTTCATTCTTTCTTGTTCTTTTACATAATAGCACTAAAATATAATTATGAATAAATGAATGAATGAAATAGAACAATAAAGTTTTCACAAGAGGAAAATTACACAACCTAAAGAAATTTTGGCAAATAAATGGCTCTGTTATTTAAGTTCCACAGTTTACATAAATTTCTAATTAATTTCATAATAAAGTTCAACATTAGAAGTTAGGGACAGACAAAAAGAGGTAACTGGAAATTTTCTTAATTTTGTTAAAACAAATTTTAATTTGCCAAATAAATGGCATTTTTCATCTTTTCAGACAGCTGGGAATGAGGCTCACAGAGTGGTGTTTCTGAGGAGGACTGAAAGGCCTGACCACAGATGCGCACCTTCAAGGGCCCCAGGAAAGGGCTACCTCCTCCCTAAACCGCACGCAAGACATCGCTCCTTCTGTAGGTCCATGCCTAGCTCAACAAAGAAAAGAACTGGAAAACTAAGTAAAAGATCTTAGCATTACACCCGAAAGGAAGTAGAGATGAGAAGAGCGAAGACAGGGTCAAACCTCACGCCTCTCTCCTGGGTGTGGGTCTCGTGTCAGGGGAAATGGGCTCTAACCCTTCCAGAACACCAGAGAATCTCTTTACTCCAGGGGAAACAGAAGCTGGGCTCTGGATCTGGGAAAAACCCTTCCCACCCTGTCCTCTGAAAAGTCCTGCACCACCCTGGAGAAAATAAAAACTAAAAGGGTCTATTCACTCATGGGCTATCTTGTGTTTTTCTTTGTGTGACTTTTACATAGGTACTTCTGGATTTAGGTGAGACGGACTTTCCCAAAATTTAAGTGGATTTTTGAAATGGAATCATACTTTCCTATTAACTTAGAATGTTGTTCTGTCAATAAATACAATTTAGCTAAAAAAACTCATGCACGGTAAGTAATGCAACCTTCACCTTTTAAGTCTACGTTTTTCAGTCTCCCTGTCAAATAGTTTATTGTCCATCAGGCATTCAAGTGAACTAGGAAAAAACTCATGCTTTAAGAAAATGTATCATTTTGACTTTTTTGGGGGGGGAGGGTAAATGGTTAGAGAGTAACATGTACCCTAATCAACAAACTTTTTGTCAGTTTGACAGATAGATGATAGATAGATAGATAGATAGATGATAGATAGATATAGATAGATGATAGATTGACAGACAGAGGATAGATTAATAGATATTTGGAGGGCAGTACTAACATTTGAACTCAGGGTGTGCTCCCTTTTGCTTTTTAGTTTGTTTGTCAGATAAGGTTGTAGCAGGGAGGAGGGCCAGAAAAGAAACAGGCTGTGTTCTGATAATGAGGCAGGGGGAAGGGACAGCAAAGCAGAGAGATAAAACTTAAAAAATTAAAACATGAAGAAGGTCACATAGCACTGGGGAAATAAAATAACCAGTGATGTCACATGCTGCCATATGTGAGTTGAGCTTTGCTTTTTGCTTCAGTAACCTGCTTGCAAGGGTATGTAAGGTGAGACCACTTTGTTCTTGGGGCTCAGCCTTTGGACACGTCTGCTGAGTCTGTGCCGCACAATAAAACATTGCTCCCTGCTAAACTGCCTCAGTGTCCCAGATCTCAGTTTGAGATTCCCGCAGCAGGGCCTCGTTCTTTTGCTACCACATGCAGCTTGTTTTTGAGATAGAGCCTTACCAACTTTTGCCTGGACTGGCCTCAAACACAGATCCTCCTATCTCTGCCTTCCAAGTAGCTGGGATTGCAGGCATGTATATTTGTTGAATACTTTTAAATGTGAGCAACTCACCTCTTTCTTTGAGATCTTCAATATAAGCTTTCATAAATTCTTTATCAAAATGTTGGCGATCCTGCTCACTTTCCATTACTTCATCACCATCATCACGTTGGGTCTGATCAATAGGATTGTCCATAAGGCTTATGAATCTGTTCAAGAAATTACAGAAAATAACACATTTTCAACTGCACCCGTTTGACTGCAAAAGTCCTCCCTTAAGAAGCCAAACTTTGCGGTACTAACTGCCAAGTTCTCACTTCTTCTTGAAAGCTGACCAACATCATATCAGTGTCAACACTGGAATGCCACTGTGGAGAAATCCAACAGGAATATGGGGTCAGCCTGAAGGCAGAGACCATTCAGAGGTCTGCTGGGGAAACAAGAGCTGCTTAGAGTTACAGACAGAGGAGGGAGGGCAGGGGGCAATGAAGTGGCACTTTCTCTGTCAGATCTTGAAAACTGTATCACATCAAACACTGCATGACAGTTACTGACTTCAGACTTTAAAATGAGGAGGGTAAGCCAGGTCTGGTAGTTCATGCCTGTAATCCCGCACCTCAAAAGGCTGAGGCAAAAGG